ATTTAAAGTCACTGAATGATAACTACTTAAAAATGGTTAAAATGGAAATTTTGTTATATACATATGTATTATCACATTCCTTTAAGAAAGTAAAAATTATAAAAGCTACTAAACGTATAATTTATAATTTTCTAGCAGCCATATCATCAAAAATTTAAAAAAACAGGTAAAATTGATTGTAGCAATATTTTATTTAATGCTATATAACCAAAATAGTTTTACTTCACATGTACATATTTTAGAGACTTTTTAAGAAGTTCAGTATTTATATTAACTTACAGCACATATCAATTTACATTGGACATATTTCTTTTTCTTTTTTTACTTTACTTAAACATTGTGTTTTACAAAGGTGTTCATAATACAATCCTTATAGGCAACACCAATCCCATCGAGTATGACCTTCTCTCCACCGTTGTAACAACCACCACCCAATCCTGCCCCTTTAACAGTCACAAAATAATTTATTTTATATTGCTTTTACAACTAAAGGAATAATGGAATTACCAAAAAATACTGCAGCAAAAGAAAATTTATGAAAATTGCCATATTTCACCATGGGGTCATTAAGTCCTTATCTGAGGGTTTACTGTTCATTGCTAGTTGAGTCTTCTGTGTTTTTTTGTTTGTTGAACTTAGTTGGCTTCTATGTGACTTCCCCACCTATTTTGGTGTGCTCCCATTGGGTTGTCAGTATTGTGGAATTTGGAGGCGTTGCTTACATGGCCACATGCTCCAGAAACTATAGAATCTATAGAACCGGGGCAGTGGATGAGTTTACATGTAGGCTATGGGGTGTGAGTGGCTGCTGTGAGCTGGAGATGACACAGTTTGTTGTGGTGCCTGGGATCAAAGACAACAGTGTTCACATGAGGACACTCAGCTTGTGGGTCAGTGCTGAGGATCAAACTCAGCTTCACATCTACAAGGCAAACACTTGCTCTCCACTGAGTCACACTCCCAAACTCCTAGAATTTGTTTAGAAAACAATCATGGGGTTTGGGGAGAAAAGACAAACCATAGAGCCAATCTAACATACACACCCTTGCTTATATTATGATACTGATTTTTTAGAAGTATCTGGTGTGAGAAATAATAATGCAATAAATTTCCCACTTTAATGGTACTCCTCCCACTATCTTAGGGGAACCATACAGTCACTCTCTCTGATTTTTAATTATTTTTTCTATTTCTCTAGCCTAAGCCTTTACATAACAATTTAACTGCATGATGGTTTCCGCTTCACCCAATGCAGCAAGCTGTTCCATGGAAATAACTGGGCATGGTTGAGTGAGCTTGGTAAGCCTTGCAAGCAGAGCTCCATGCTCTTAGAAATACTTGACCTCAGATGAATTTGCTCTGCACTGTAGCTCAAGTTACTGCTCCCAGACCCAATTGGAAGTTGCATGAGTTCAGTTTTCACTGGAGATGTCGCCAATTTCCCTTATTTAGTTAGCACTTCTTAGTTATTTAGAACTGTTGCAAGCTCTCCCCTTCTTGCTCTAACATCTAAAGGACTTCGAGTAGGGGGAAAGTGATTCAGACACTCCTTACTTTCTCCTTTAATTGGTTTCTTTATTCCTTCACTCATCCCCACCAATAGGGTCTGGAGACTATTGCTAGAGATTTAAACATCCTACTTTGTATTGCAAAGCAATCTGCACTATGAGAAGAGAATGGGGTAAAGAGGACAGGAAGTTCGAGAAAGGTGCCTCAAGCTATCAGTATAAGTAAAGAGCATACTGGTAGTGACAGTTGAGTAAAGTTTTGATATGAATGAAGAGCCATGCCAATATCTGGCGAAAATATTCCAGTTAGAAAGTAAGTGCCAATATCCTAAGGAGGAAAAGGGATATTTAGAAAGTTCAAACAGTGGAAGAAAAAGTGTGTGGCTGGAACAAAGTGAGCAAGGAGGGAAAGTGAGAGCAGCTGACTTCCTACTTCGCAGGGGGAGTAGAAGGTCATGTGATGGGCCTAATTGTCTGTTTCAGAACACTGGGTTCTACCTGGAGGAAGTTGAGGAACTGTTGGAGAGTTTTGAACAGAATGAAGATAATGGTATGAAATGTTTGAAAAAGATCACTTTGTGTAACTTTTAGTTGTTTGTGTGTGTGTGTGTGTGTGTGTGTGTTTTGTTTTTGGCTGGAGCGATATCACAGCAGGTAGGGTCTTTGCCTTGCACAAGGCCAACACAGCCGACCCGAGTTCGATTCCTCCACCCCTCTTGGAGAGCCCGGCAAGCTACTGAGAGTATCTCACCTGCACAGCAAAGCCTGGCAAGCTACCCATGTTGTATTTGATATGCCAAACACAGTAACAGCAAGTCTCACAATGGAGATGTTACTGGGTCCACTCAAGCAAATCGATGAACAATGGGAGGACAGTGACAGTGACAGTTTTTGGCAGTAATCCACGTGAGACACAGGCCTGGGTACAGGGTGAAGGTGACAAAGTGATGCGAAGAGAATTCTGGTTATATACTGAAGGTAAATAGGGAAGCCAAAGGGTATATTAGGAAACCCTTAATGAACGATGTCAGTTGTGAAAGGAAAGAACTGGCATTGATTTTGTTTCTCGTCTGTTATTATCGAAGTGCACTCAAAACTTACACCGCCATCTATCCAAGTGTCCTGGCAAATTAAGCTATTGATTCTATGAAACAAAGGAACTGATACACAATAAGTTTATCTTCAGGGACGAGAGGCTTTCTGGAATACCTCCTTCGTCATCCTTGACTTTGCTCCTTTAATTCTATTTTACCTTTACCAAGCATTGTGGACTTCTTTCAACACATTGTGTTGATTATATGCTTAAAAACTAAGTATGTTAATTAAATGTGATATAAAATAATGGAACTGTGAGTTTGGGAACAAAGCATAGAGCCCTTTGGAAAGGGTTGATAGAAATCATTTAAATATGCAGGACCCGTGGCTGAGATTTCCAAGCCTGCTCGGATCGGGACTGGGCCTCCTCCACCCAGCTCCCCAGTTTTCCAGTTTGGCAGTCATGCCCACAAGCTGCCCCTGGCACCATGTAATCTCATCAATGGCCAAGATCCAGAGACTATAAAATAAAGCTCCTGGAAGAGAGTGATCCAGTATTTCCTGGATACTCTATACTTATACTCTAGCCCACTGATGTACCTAAAGTAGCACACATGTGTTTGGTTTTAACATACTTGCTTGTATTCTCTTATATACAGGCTTAAATGGCCCCAGAATGAAATACAACAACCTTCATACACTTCCCTCTTATTGTGGGAAGATACTCTCTGGTTGAGTGGGTGTATGAATATTATCTGCAGTGAACTATTGTGAACTACTTTATGAAAACAAAATGTATAAAAATTGTAACAACAACAAAAAAGATCATTTAAAAATTACCACATACCAGATAACTGTTAAAATAGAGGGGAAAGGAAGAAATCTAGCTCAGTTATCCCCTCAGATTATTTTTTTTAAGTTCTTCCTTTAAAGAAATGAAAACCAGAGATTAGATTCACATGGGGGTAGTTAGTGCAAGGAAAATAATATCAAAGTATGAGTAATGGTTGACAGAAGTCTTGGCTTTAATGTAAAAATAGTGAACAGCAATGTATACATAGATGTTCATAAGAATTAATCATTCCTGGTCCCAGCTATCTTTCCACTGCACTAATTTGACAAATTGTTCTGGTCACGTGGCTTTTCACTGCATTTTTATCATTTGCAAACTTTTTTTTTTTTTTGCTTTTTGGGTCACACTCAGCGATGTTCAGGGTTTACTCCTGGCTCATTCAATCAGGAATTACTCCTGGCGGTGCTTGGGGGACTATATGGGATGCTGGGAATCGAACCCATGTCAGCCGCATGCAAGGCAAATGCCCTACCCGCTGTGCTATCACTTCAGCCCCTCATTTGAAAACTTTAAAAAGTTCAGAGACATGTTGAATTTTTCTTCTATTTCCCCATTCTGGAACATAGCAAAAAGCAGGACTGATATATGAGTTTTCATTTTTCATGTGTTTGGTGAAGAAAATTCACTTGCCTGAAAATCTAGTTTAAAATTATATTGTAAGAGGGAAGATTATAGAGTTTGAGAGCAAAATATCACTCACAAAGTACCATTAGACTTTTAAAAGCAAAAACCTTATCACTCAATAAATTACTAAGTCTGCTAGGTACAACGTACTGAAAGGAGTTTGAATATTTCCAGGCCTCTGTAAACAGACAAAAATGTAGAACGCTGCAGAAATATCCTCTGGCCCCCAGAGGGCGCAGCATGGAAAGAAGTGAGAGCTGAGGGTTTGAGGGCCTCTCCTTTCTAAAGCTGCAATAGGGAAGAGGGAAGTACCCAGAGAACTACCCAAAGGAGATGCTAGTAGACACAAGGGTGGTGTTTAACTTCATCTTTGGTATTTAAGAATAGTAAATGCCAAAAAATTTTCAGAAACCCTTTACTTTCTTTTTATGTTTTACTGAAATGTGAAAGATTTAGAGAGAAATTTAGAGTTGGTGATAGAAAGTGAGTATGAATATGAGAAAGGAGAGAGAGAAAGGGGAAGAGGAAGCGGGAGGAGGAGGAAGATGAGGAAGAAGAGGAGGAAGAGGAAGAAGGGGAAGAGGAAGAGGAGGAAGAGAAAGGAAGGGGGGGAAGAAGAGGAAGAAGAGGAAGAGGAGGATGAGGAGGAAGAAGAGAAGGAAGAGGAAGAAGTTTAGAGTATTCCAGGCTTTCTTAAGAAAAACACAAGAATACTGTGTAAAACACACAAAATTGGCTAAATGGTGCAGAAAATTCAGTTCTAAATGTCCTGCCAAAGGTCAAAGTTGCAAACTGTCCCTTGAGATAGGAAACCAGACCCGAGTACAATGCCCTCTTGTGCGCTCTTCATCACATTTTCCTTGTCACTTGGAAGTTTGGGTGAGTTTTCTTCACAGAGCAGAATAGCCCCCCTTGCTCCAATACATTATTGAAGTGTTTCAATTAATATCCACTCTGAAGAATTTCACACAGCTATGGACTGCTGTAAAAATGTCATTCATTTATTGCAATAAACATTATGAACCCACAATGGAAAAATGCTCCTCAAAAGAGGAAGAGCACCGAGGGTGGGACTCATGCGTTGCGTGTGCTAGGCTTTGAGTTTAGTTCCTGGCACCCCCACCCGTACCCTAAACCGCCACCAGGCCCAAGTTCTGAGCAGACCGGCCCACTGAGCTGGAGTAGGTAGAGGTAAGCCTGTCCCCCAGGCCCTCTGAATGTTGCTGAGGGCCCCCCTCAGCTCCCTCCTTGCGAAAACCCCAAAGATGAATACTGATCATCAGTGAAACAAGGCTACCATCAATAAAGAGATATGGGAAATCATTTCACAGTTCAGTGTCTAGTGGAGCCAGGGTTTATCTATATGCGTGAATCTGCAGGTGTGAGGTTTTTGAGGAGGAGGTGTAGGAATGTCTCCAGCTGTTTCTTTGATCTGTATGCGATCAGTCCTCCCTTGTTGGCCCACTTCTCCACTCCAGTAGCACCCTCGTTTTCCAGGTGATACACTAGCTGTGGGGGATCGAGGCCTGGCTCTGGAATTTTCTGCAAGCACTCTTTCAGATCCACCATTCCTCCACCCATGGCCCGCAGGATGGCGTGGGCTGCGCAAGAGTCCCACTTGAAAGTAGTGTCTTCAGAAAAGATGTAAATGTCAACAAGACCTTGGACCACACAAAGGCTCTTGTAGCCAGCCCCAGCTGCCCGGAAAATGCTCTCCCCACATATACGAGACAGTGCGGCTCTGATGGGCTCCTTCTCGCTGGTACTAATGACAGCTGAAAAGCAGGATGCTGGCTCTTTGGCTTCAGAGCTTCTCTTTCCAGTTGCTTGACTTTGCGTTTCACTGACGATTCTTTCAGGGTGGTGTGGAAGTGAGTGGATATTGGTCCCCATGTAAGAAAGGCCCCAATAGCGTTGTCCTTCCCACCTGCAAAGAACAATTTTAAGTTTGTGGAGGTGGGTTATAGCAATTTCCTACGTTGCTTTCCAACTTAATGATAATATATCGATTAGTATGTATGTTTGTACATAGACTTACATATACTTTACATATTTGTACATAATGATAAATACATGTAACAAGTCTTACAATGTTACTGGCCCGCTCGAGCAAATTGATGAACAACAGGAGGACAGTGACAATGACAGAGACATGTATACTATTTAATACAGATAATGTAAGGCATCTCCATTGTTCTTAAGTCTAGAATTGAATAGTTCATATCTTTATATAAAGTATATATATAAAGTAATAATATGTACATGCATATATATAAAGTATATACATATATCTGCCCCCACACCTGACCGTCCTCACCGGGGTCCCTTGGATGGGGGCAGGTTGAGTTTCCCTCCCCACCCCGAGCAGAGCCCCAGCAGCTAAAGACCTCCGGAACCAGTCACAGCCACGTTTAAGATCACTCTCCACATGCTCGGACAAGTCTCACACATGAAGGAAGCAGCAGAGGAACCCAGGTGTATGGGAACCGGGGCTGAGATCTCCAAGGCTGCTCAGATTGGGACTGGGCCTCCTCCACCCAGATCCCCCATCTTCCAGTAGCTAGGCGTTACACCCACCAACTGCCCCCAGCGCATGTATAATCCCATCAACAGCCAAGATCCAGAGATTATAAAACCAAGCAACCTCTTATTGTCTAGTTCTCGCTCTCAGAGAACCCAGCAGGCTACCGAGAGTATCCTGCTCGTATGGCAGAATCTGGCAAGCTCCCTGTGGCATATTCGATATGCCAAAACCCAGTAACAATGATGGGTCTCATTCCCCTGACCCTGAAAAAGCCTCCAATGTGGCACTTGCTAAAATCTCAGGGCTAGGACGAATGGAGACATTACTGGGGCCTGCTCGAGGAAATCGATGAACAACGAGATGACAGTGATACAGTGATACAGATATCAAGTAGTTATTATCTTTCTAAAAGGTTTTCACACGTATACAGCTGCCTCCATTGTTACAGATCAGCAATGCTGTGGATCTCACACAATTATCACATCTAACTGGGACGACACTAAAATATTTGCAGGGCAGAAAAGGTAGCTCAGATAGAGAAGGGACCACCAAGTAAAGGGTTCTTGGAGGGCAGCCTGGGATGGGAGATGCAAGCTGAAAGTAAAGTACAAACTGAATGATGGCCACTCAATACTTCTATTGTAAACCACAACACCTAAAAGGAGAGAGAAGAGAGAGAGAGAGAGAGAGAGAGAGAGAGAGAGAGAGAGAGAGAGAGAGAGCGCAAAAGGGAATGCCCTGTCACAGAGGCAAAGGTTGGGGGAAGGGATGGGGTGGTGGGGAAACTGGTATCTGTGGTGGTCGAGAATGGGCACTGGTGGAGGGATGGGAACTCGAACATTGTATGAATGAAATGTAAGCACAGAAGTTCGCCAATCTGTAACTGAACCTCACGGTGATTCATTAAAAAATAAAATTAAAAAAATAAATAAATATCACTGTATCACTGTCATCCCATTGTTCATCTATTTGCTCAAACGAGTGCCAGTAACGTCTCCATTCGACCCAGCCCTGAGATTTTAGCAGCCTCTCTTTACTTGTCCTTTCCAACAGTGCTGTATTGGAGACTCTTTCAGGGTCAGCAGAATAAGACCAGTTATTGTTACTGTTTTTGGCAAATAAGACCAGTTATTGTAACCAGTTATTGTTTGGCATACGGAATATGCCACAGGGAACTTGCCAGGCTCTGCCGTGTGGGCGGGATACTCTCGGTAGTTTGCCGGGCCCTCCAAGAGGGATGGAGAATGTATATAAGAAAATACAAGCAAGTATGTTAAAACCAAACACATGTGTGCTGCTTTAGGTATATAAATAAATAAATAAATAAAGTAAAATAAAATAAAATAGATAAATAAATAAAATATTTGCAGGGCTTCTGGTCACTCGCAAAATGTCAATGCTACTTTTGGTGTTTGAAGTTTAACAGGGAACAAAAATGAATAGGTAGTATCTTTTTAATCGGCAAATTTTTATGATCCTTACAGTAACCTTTTGTTCATCTGGCCATTCCTTTTTATTCTCCCATTTGTTAGATCCATTTTGACCATACAGCCAAGAAACTCATGTTTTAGCAGCAATGACCATACCTAACATTTAATAATGCTCAGCAGATTGTATGTGTTGGGAAACTGACTCTGCTTACAGAGATGGAAAGTGAAGCTCTTAGAGGATGTAAACAAGTTGCAGAAGCCCAGCGAATAAGAGATGAGATCTGTGTCTAGACTCAGGCAGCCTGGCTCCAGAGCCTGCCCCTCTCCCAGCTTCGCCACCACCCCCATTTCTAGGCCAGGATTGTGTCTGCAGCCAGACCTGCTGCTTTTGAACTGGGTAATGATAATATGAGGGTAATAGAAACCTGGTTTTGGTTAGGAAGAAGTTCGGGAAAGAGGAAACCTGTGAAAAATATTAGAGACACAGTTTATACCTATTAAGGAGAAAATCATTTTTAGTTGCCCAAAGTGATTCAAGAAGGTGAATAGAAATAGAAAACTGGGACCTATTTCAATTAAAAAAAAAAAAAACCTGACATCACAGATGAAAAGCTGGTTGCTTTCACTTGGACTCCACAGGCCTTGGTGCCGCCTGCAGAGCACGGGCCATAGATCAGAGCAACTGGCATCCTGGTGGCCTCCTTATTTCCAGGCAGAGGTCCACGAAGAATAAGGAGGGAGGGACAGGAAAGGAGGCGAAGCTGCATTATTTATAGGAACAGTGCTCCACAGGCACATCAAATCCTGGGCATAGCTACAAATCTGGGTCATTTCACATTTTGTTTTGAATTTCCTTTGAAATTGCTATAAATTGTCCATTAATAAAATTCAAAGTGAACTTGTATCAGTTGAGATGACACCTGTTTAGAAAAGTGTTCTATTACTCTTTTTTGAGTGGACTCTAGAAAATAAGGGCCAAATTGCTAGATCTCAAATGCAATACTGATCTCTGAGATGGCTGTTGCCCCCATTTTTCCACCCACTGTTATCATCAAGTCCCAAATAAAATAGTGCCAAATGTAGGATTAAAATGAGAACTTTGAGTTAGATGTACGGATTTTTAGTAGAAACACCTCAATGTATTGAGCCATTGGATTCTCTAAAAAAAAGTAATATTCTTAACAATAAACTGTTTATAATTTTTTAAAAACCATCAGATGCATAAATGTTCATCATTTACCTGTGGGTCTCTATGTCTTGTGAGAGGAAAGGTTGATTGATGACCCCCATCAGGGGGATGCCTGTCTGTATATCATATACCCCAATTAAAATGGTGACACACTGAAGTCCACTGGGGAAGATTCCTTGGTTGGATTTAATGTCTGCAGAACCTTTTATGTACTGGTAAGTTGAATCTGAAAAAATGAAGCAAAGTTATTTGCATTCAGGTAAATTTTATTTAGAAAATGATATAGTGATAAAGACTGTAATGTCATTTCTTCTCCTACTCATTTAGAAACTATTATCATCTGAATTTTGTGGCTCTCTCCAAATTCTAACTCCCTAAAGGTGATGGTAACAGTAAGAGGTGTCTTTGGGAGAGATGTAAGGGAACCACATGAATGTGATTTGTGACCTTTTAAGAGACACTCGAGAAAAATATCCAGTCCTTTCCATTAGCAAAGGGCATTGCCAGAAGGCCCAAATTATGAGTCAGGAAGAGGACCCTCCCCTAACTATTCTGGCACCTTGAACTTAAACCATCCACCCCCCACACTATGAGGCATAAATTTCTGTTTGGAAGCAACCCACTCCATGGCATTGTTATCTCAGCTTGGATGAAGTGACAATCACATGTCAAGTTTTTTCTTTGTACTGAACAGTTACATGACCTTGTGTACTTTTTATGTTTGTGTCCCATTTTTCCAGCAATGTGGGAAGATGTAGGTAGTTCCTTTGGCATCTAGCATGGCACCTTATAGCTCAGAAGCATTCAACTACTCATCACATGTCACAAATATTTAAAAAACCATGACTCAGAGGAGCTGGTAGGATTTATTGGCGTTCCTGCTAATGAAAGGACCAATTCTAAATGGATAAGAAAACCGCCTTACAGAAAGCCATGGGTGGGGGGGGGGATCGCTTTTCCTTTTTGGTTCTTCAAATTGAAAAAGGGACAACAATTGTGGCAACAACAAAAAAAAAAATAATGGTTTGTCTATAAAAAGAAGCTGAGGAGCCAAGTGCTTCCTTCAAGACAGACACGGCAAGACCACAGCAGGGAGGGTGTAAACACCAATTTGGATGTTCTGAGCTAAGGCTGTGGTAACAGAGCTAAGAAGTCAGGTCAGGACAGAACAAAATAATGGGAAACGTCAGTCTCACAGAAATCTGAACTGATGCTGGGTTACTCTTAAATGATGAAAGATTTTGGGGAAGGTCCTTCATTTACATATATAATCCATTGGCTGGATATTCTGGTCTCTGACTCAAAGTATTTGTAAGGAGCTGTGTTAGTGTGTGTGCAAGATGGGAATGGTGGAGGCAGACTGACTCCCCAGCACAATTAATGACTCCCACTGTAGTAGGTTGAATATGCTAGAGATGGGAAAGAAAAAAATTCTGAAAATATTATGGTATTCCCAAATTAGCAGTACAGCTAAGAGGCCTATATAACCTCAAGGCAATGAGACTCATATTATTATAACTAGTATAATAGTTTAAAATAAAGAGTCAAGTTTATGTAAATTTCCCAACTGATTGCTAAAGAAGTCACATACAGCTGTCGTTTGCTTGACTGCTGTGCAGTGGTTTTGTACACAGACACGAACATTTACATATATCTGTTGGAGGTATACTTATGTCTATACATATTAGCCCTTGACCGTTTCAAAGTCAATTTTTCAAAAATTCTAGGAGGGTTAAAATATACTTTCAATAATTTTAATTTTATCAACTCTACCACCACCACTACCACCCACAACCCCAAACATTTCTGTAAAAAGAATTTAAAACAATCAAACTCACTCTCCTGCACTTACCTATAGGGTCAACCCAGATTCCCAGTGTGTCCTGTGGAATGTAGATCTCAATGGAATCCAGAGTTGGGTCAGTCAAGGTGACATCCTGGTGGACAACCTTGGCTAATGCTTCCGATGCCAACTTGTTGCCATTAAGAACTTTGCTAAGAAGCTCCACTGTTTCTTCCTCTGTTGCACACATTCTCAAGATAATCTTTTCCCCTAGAATAAGGACAAACTAAAGCTAGCCCATTTCGAGAGTTTGGGAGAGGGTGCATAAGAGGGCTGGGGGCAACAAAAACCATTCTTCAGTTAGGTGAGGACAAGTCATCGCTACCAGAGGATCCAACCTGTCTGACGGCCAGAATAACCTAAAAGACTTTGCTAAAGTCATGGGAGTCCAGTGATCACTCATTCACTTCATGTGAACTGTGGGGAACAGGCTGCAGGATTCAATGGGCTCCTTTCTCCTCAGAAAATTGCCTACAGGGCACATACACACAATTTTGTATGCAATTTAAAGGAGCCTCTGGATCAGATAAGAATCCCTGAGTCAGGAGCCCCCGGATATTTTGGGGGGCGCAGGAAGGGGGAAGGGGATCTCCTCCCAAGCACTGTTCAGGAGGCTCTGGGGTCACTTGCCACAGTATTCACTGTGATATTGAGCCAGCTCAGTGTTGCTCAGGAGACCTTGCAGTGTCCAAAATCACAGCTAGGACCTCTGCCTGTGGGTGATGCACTCCAGCTTTTTGAGCCGCCTCCCAATCTGATTATTATGCTTATATTTATATGTATGTCCTTTGCTTTTTAATAGTCTAATCTGCTCCTGCTTGGAGATGTGATTTAAAAGAGCCTAAATTTTATCAGCACATGCAACTGCCTCTAACTACTTCTAGCATACTGCTTTGTTTTGATTTGATTTGCCACACCCATCATTTGTCAAAATGTTTTACAGCTGCCCCAAAAAGGAAGAGGTTGACAAAAAAATATGCAAACTGATAGCAACAAAATGTGAAAGCAATGAAGAAAATATATTTTTTAAACATCTTAAAATTAAGAAAACATGGCATCTTGGAACTTTTTAGGTATATAGACATATATATATATATTGAATATATATTTCAAGAAAATGCATTTTTCCTGGAAACAATCCATTCCAAGGAACAACTGCTACTTGCTGGAAACTCAGAATGTTGGGCCTCATGCCAGACCTGAATTTTAATAAGATCCCCAAGTGATTCATAGGATTATTAAGCACAGCATCAATCTAGTCCAATGATAACTCTGAGTCAGCAAGAAACATTCATTAAATTTAAAGTCAATTACCTTTGACTGTTAAAGTTGGGGAATTAAAAATCTAATCATTGCCATTGCTGAGGCAACTACTATTCTGGGCTCAGTATGAGTGGCTCAAAGGAACAAGATTACTACATTACTTCTTCAGTGAATCTGTATCACAGACGAGAATGCAAACTTCTTGCCACAGCCCCTCTCCCCCCACCCCCCAATTTCTGTTCCTGCTGTGTATGTCAGTGTCTGGCTTTCCCTTCTCCCTCTCTTTGTCCTGCCAACACAACCATTCACTCCTTCAAATCTCAGTAAAATATTTTTTCCAGTGCTAATGCAGAAAGTTTTTCCTTGCAAAGGTACCTCTTGATGTTTGTCATTGTTTAGTTTATATATTTATTTTCTGGGGGAAGGGCCACATCCAACTGTGCTCAGGGATTTCTCCTGGTGCTGCATTCAGGGATCGCTCTTGGCAGGGCTTAGGGACCAAATGGGATGCTGGGGAATTAAACCTGGGTCAAATGCATGCAAGACAAGCACTTTATCTGCTCTAGTACCACTCTAGCCCATGCCACTGTTTAAAGCTCATGGTTTTCAGCTTCTACTATTTACAGAAACAAACAAAACCCAACAAATTTAAAGTAATCTGGTTTTCTGAAAAGAACCAGAGATTTTTATTTATTCCCTCTAAACCACAAGAGAGAGGATCTTAGACCACAGGAAAAAAAATTAAGTAAGACTTAAAACCTGCCATAAAATGGAACCTTTCAGTCTAGCTCCCTTTTCAGAGGTTGCAAACTCAGAAAAGTTATTGATCGGATCAAGATCAAAGTGCTTCAGCTCCCTTTTGATTTTCAGTCAAGGGCCATGAATTTCCAGGATTATGCATTGAAACCTTACATTTGAAACTGTCTGCACAACTATGTAGATATATGCTTTTCTGGATATACTATTAAATTCCCAAAGGGCCGTATAACTCTTTCAAAGGTTGTCAAACATTATTTAAAGATCAAAATAAAAGATGTGGACTTCCAAAACAATTTCTAAGATAAACCATCTCTCTAAACATCATGATCCTCTGGGAATTTGGAATCACATTTAAATGTGCTATTTACATGAGAGACCTTTAAATATCCTTCTTTTTGAAAATTAAAATACTACATCATAATGGAGTTACTAAAGTTTATTGATTCTTATGCTTACCTAAATCATTAGTAAACTCGTTGGATTCTTCTCCAAAAACTTTCTCTCCCAAGCCTGGAAACTGAATGATTTACAGCATGAGGTCAACAATAAACCATACGATACTTGTTAAATTCTAAACAATTTTTCACTAATAATTCAAATTAAGTAGCAAAATGAGACCTAAAATTCAGAAATGTACAATTCCAGAAAACAGTTTGGCTCAGGGAAGTCAGCTTGATGCAGTGCTTAGTTTCCTAATATTTTAATTAATTAATTGGTTTTTTGGCCATATGTATACTAGTTCTGTTCAGACCTTAACACTCTCGCTCTGCTTTGAGAGTTCACTTCTGGCTGTGTTCTGGGGACCTTTAGGAGTGCAGGGATTAAACAGGAGTTGGCTGCATGTAAGGTAAGTGCCCTACCCACTGTACTGTCTCTCTGACAAAACTACTAATATTTTTGTTTTACTTTTTTTTTGGGGGGGGGGGGGCGTTGGGACCACATCCAGCAGTGCTCACAGTATACTCCTGGATCTTTGCTCAGGAATGATTCCTGGTTGGTGCTTGGGCTGCCAGATGCAGTCCAAGGACTGAACTGGCATTAGTACTTGCAAAGCAAGTGCCTTAACACCTATACCATCTCTCTGGTCCATCCCTTCCTAATACTTTATGCTCCTATGTTCCTTCTATAAAGTTCAGATCATGACAGAAGTTCTTATGTCCTGTTGAGTCTGAAAAAGTTTCAAGAAACTTCATCCCTCTTAAGTACCATAGAATAATTACAAGGAAGAGATTTTAAATGCTATATCTTATATAATATTGCTTATGCAAGATATTAGAAAAGGCAAGAGATGACACTAGATTTTGTTTTAATTGTTCAAAATATGTCCTCTAAACCTGCGTTATTAATAAGTGATAAGAAGGAAAATATCTTTTTTGTTTTGTTTTGGGACCATACCCAGTGATGCTCAGGGATTACTCCTGGCTCCGCACTCAAAAATTAATCCTGGCAGTGCTCAGGGGACCATAAGAAATGCTTGTCGAGGATTGAACCCGGGTTGGTTGCATCCAAGGCAAGTACCTTACCCACTTTACTACCATTCCAGCCCAAAATGGGAAATATTGGCTAATAATTTATATATCAACATTGAATTTTAAAAATAGAGCTAAAATTCTTTTTCTCATCTCTCTATGACCAAGAAGTTTTTAGATATAATTTGTTTCGATCCATTCTATAGCAAAGGTATTTTTTTCTTCAAATGTGTGATAAATTATAATTGGTGTGATATTTTCAAAGAATGAAAGCAAGGAATTGATTTAAATATTTAAATTCAGTGAATACTGTTTACCATTAGCTTTAATAGTGCCCACAACTACTTATTATTGATTTTTAGTTTTGGGTTTTTGTCTTTTGAATAATAGTGCAAATCTACAAGGTTGGCAAAAAGCCTGTTTGACCAGGACCAACTTCTTTCCTTTTCTTTCCTTTTATTTATTTCTTTTTGTTTGTTTTATTGAATCACAGTGAGATACAGTTACAAACTTTTCATGTTTGAGCTTCATCCATACAATGATCAGAACACCCATCCCTCCACCAGTGCACATTTTCCACCACTAATGTCCCCAGTATCCCACCTCCCCTCACCATTCCCAGTCCTCACTCTGCCTCTATGGCAGACAATTTCCTCCATACTCTCTCTCTCTACTTTAGACTAACTTCTTTCATCCAGGGAAAGGACTGAGGATTAGGAAACAAAGGTGTTTCATAGGTCAAAAGTTTCAAAATTAGCCACAAGGCACATGAAAAAATGCTCCACTTCACCAATCATCACGGAGCTGCAAATCAAAGCAACAGTGAGGTATCATCTTACACCACAGAAACTGGCACACATGAACAAGAACAAGAACAACTGGTGCTGGCATACCAATTGGTAAAGCCTTTTTGGAAAACAATATGGATATTCCTCCAAAAACTAGAAATTGAGCTTCCAAATGATCCAGCATCCTGATATCTGCACTTGTATGTTTATTGTATGTTTATTGCAGCACAGCTTATAATAGCCAGAATTTGGAAAAAACCTGAGTGCCTGAGAACAGATGACTGGAAAAAAACAGAAGAAACTCTGGTACATCTACATGGTGGAATACTATGCAGCCATTAGAAGAGATGAAATCATGAAATTTGCGTATAAGTGGACGGACATAGAGAGTATCATGCTAAGTGAAATTAGAAAGAAAAGGTAAGACACAGAATGACTGACTCATTTGTGGAATATAGAGTAGCATAATATGAGACTAACACCTAAGGACAGTAGAGATAAGGTCCAGGAAGATCACACCATGGTATGTAAGCCAGCCCCACGTGCTGGGGGGAAAAGGCAGTTAGAATGGAGAGGGGACCACTAAGTAAATGATGATTGGAGGGACCACCCAGGTTGGGAGATATGTGCTGAAAGTAGACCAAGATCAAAGACGATGAACTCTGTATCGCAAATCACAATGCCCAAAATTAGAGAGAGAGTAAGAAAGACGGTACCTGCCACAGAGGCAGGAATTGGGGCAGGGTGGGGGTGGCGGGTAGGACAATGGGAACAATGGTGGTGGAAAATGCGCACTGATGGAGGGATGGGTGCTCGAGCATTGTTCAAATGAAACAAAATCATGCAAGTTTGTAAATGTATCTCATGGTGATCCAATAAATTAAAAAAAAACTAGTAAACACTGAAAGCAAAAAAAAAAGTTTCAAAATTATTTTTCATAAATTCTGGCATATCTCTTGTGAAAAATAAATTGCCTAAATGTATCATAGTGCTTTTGAGCAAATATTAACCCATAAAATTGAATGTTGATATATTTCTAATTCATTTGCTTAGTACACCAAATATCTTGATCTTGATCAGTAATCGATAATGTTTCATTTAATAAACTTGCTTCATTTAATTCACTGGTCAGGCAGGAAAAGCAGAATTTGTTGAAATTTCAAGGAGTCACTTATTTTCTTGTTTATGGTCAAGTATTTACTTAAATTATTTTCATATTTTGTGGAAATTATCCCAATCTTTCTTCATGGTGATTTGTCAAATATCTGTTCTTTCAATTCTTAAAAAAAATATTAACTATTAGAGCTCCACAGAAAGGCAATATTGTAGCACCTAGAACACAGACTTTGCCAGTTGGTCTGTCAAAAACTGGTTCTGGGGCTGGAGCAATAGTACCGTGGGTAGAGTGTTTGCCTTGCATGCAGCCAACCCGGTTCGATTCCCAGCATCCCATATGGTGCCCTGAGCACTGCCAGTAGTAATTCCTGAGTGCAAAGCCAGGAGTAACCCCTGTGCATCACCAGGTGTGACCTTAAAAGCAAAAAAAAAAAAAATTGCTGTTTCTGCTGGCTGGAGAGATAGTACATTTGGTAAGGGGTTTGCCTTGCATACTTGCATACAGCTAACCAAGGTTTAATCCCTGCCGTCCCATATGTTTTCCTGCTGGGATTAATTCCTGAGTGTAAAGTCAAAAGTTAACCCCTGAGCAACGCCAGCACTCAGCATTGCCAAGTGCCCCACCTCCCTCCACCACCGCGCGGGGAAGTGGGAGGGCGGGAGGGGGGAATCATTTCTCTCTAGCTGTTAGGAATGGGAGTGATTTTTATTTCCTTATTTGCTTTCAGTTTCTAAAGTTCATTCTGTAGTGAATATGTTAGTAGTAAATGTTGTCCAAACAAGGGAGGATACCTAAGTCGTTGATAGGATTCCAAGGTGCTAGTATTTGGAGCTGGGGAGAGGGAAGAGCACACGCGCTATTCCGGCAAGAGAAGTGAACCACTGGGGCAAATATTTCGCAGTTACTTTGGCTGTGACCTTTCTTACCTTGTTCTCCATATTCTGTTTTATAACTTCCTGTACCAGTACATCAGCCAGAGTCTTGAAGTCAACTGCAAACTTCTTGTTCTTGTCCCCATCTTTCTTTTCTTCTATTAGCAGCTGAAAGAGGGCGTCCTGCTGCCTGCAAGCCCGGGCAATGTTGGCAGCCTTCTCGGAGACACAAAGCAGCTCTCGGAGGATAGCTGACATCTCGAATCTTTGCTCTGCTGGTGGAACCAGCACCCACCTCTGTGCCGTCAGCTGGAAAAGTACAAGAATGTGAAAGAGAAAGCATTTCAGAGTGATGTCAGGCTGTCGCTCTGCACGCTCACCACGCATCTGGCCGTCTAGCATGGCTGATCAATGAGCATCTTGCATATTTATAGCCTCTGCACGCAAGGAATCATCAAGGAAAATTTGAATTTAAAAGAAATTTTGAAAAATATTTGTAGTATCAAAAATCCATTCTATATAGAACTAAATTCTCAGTAAAGAAACTGACTGAAAATATGCAGCATATTTCTATCTTATGCAGAGACTAGTGAACAAGCAGGCAGGATGTTTTAAACGTAATAGACATTTGCTCTACCATTTGATCTAACTCCTAAGCCTTCGTGATTTTTAGTCATTACTAAGTAGCATTACTTTATAATGCCACAAAATTTTTAGATATGCAACATTATAAATAAAAGACTGTATATACCACATAAAATTCACCACGAGAAGTTCAGGTCTATCTTCTAAGACCCAAGAATAGCTAAGATAAGTACCAGGAGGTTCACTCCATGGCTTGGAGGCCAGTCACACACGCTAGAGGAAAAGGCAGTTCAGATAGAGAAGGGAGCACCATGTAAAGGGTGTTAGGAGGATCCTCCCAGGATGGGAGATACATACTGAAAGTAGACTATAGGCCAAACATGATTGCCACCCAATGCCTCTTTTGCAAACCACAGCACCCAAAAGGAAATAGAGAACAAAAGGGAATTCCCTGTCACAAAGGCGGGGTGGGATGGGGGAGATAGGGGGTTGGGAGGGATACTGGGATCATTGGTGGTGGAGAATGGGCACTGGTGGAGGGATGGGTACTTGATCATTGTATAACTGAAACCCAAGCACAAAAACTTGTAAGTCCACAACTGTACCTCATGATGTTTCACTAATAAAAATTTTTTAAAAATCAAAAGTTCACTCATCTGATCTATCTTCTGCATTTCCCACAAGTGACTCATATATGATTGTTTGTATAGCCTCTGGGGTAAATTAAATAATTTCTAATAAAAAAAGAAGTTCAGGTCTATTTCTCACAATAGTCCCCCCCACACACTTTTTTAAAATAAATTTATTTATTGAATCACCTGAGAGCAATTTACAAAGATTTTGGGTTTAAATCTCAGTCATAAAATAATGAAATACCCGTCCCTTCACCAGTGCATATTTCCCACCATCAAAAACCCCAGTATACCCCCCATCCCACACTTTCCCCCTACCTGTATTGCAGATGATTTCCGCATTACTCTCTCTCTCTACTTTGATTACATTTAATATTTCAACATCAGACCCACCATTATTATTTGGGATTTTACCCCAACACTCACATCTGTTGAAAAGGCAACATTAGACAATTTGTTTTCTATTGCTGATTATGAATTGCATACAATGTTGGAATTCTGAAATCTTAATAATTAAATCTGGAGAGATTTCTGCCAAAAGCCGCTGGGTTCTGAGATTTGTTTCTAAGCCTTAAGGATTTGTTTCTTAAGGATCATGGCTTCAGCTTCTTGTTGAGTAGCCAGAGGGCCTGTTCGTGGGCAGTGACTTTGCCTTCACCCCTTTGAGCCAGATTTATCTATCCTCATTTCCCCTTCCCTTCTGATAACCCCTAAATTGGTCTTATAGTTCAAGTTAATTTTTTTAAAATTTGACTTATTCCTTTCTTTAATAAGGCATGTATATGTGAACTCTTACATACATGGTTTATATGTATGGTTTTGTCTTTGTCCTTCTGACTTACTTGACTAAGCATAATACCAAGATCCATCCATGATGATATCTGTGTAGGACAGAATTCTCTGTGTGTATAGTAACTATATGTAGTATTTTATATATATAGTGACCGCATAGCCTTCAACTGCTTATACATCTTATTTACCCAACTGCCTGTTGGACACTCAGGTTACTTTTGAAGTTAGGATTCATTTCATTCTGAATGAAGCTGTGAATAAGGTCAATAGGTTGCTCATGGGGGTGCAAGCAAGGGGGTTTCCCAAGAACAAGTTGGAAATGATCCTTAGAGATGTTGCTGCTTTTATGTCTTAATTGTGTCAAGAGTCAGAATTGACTCAAAATATTTTTCTACAGGAAGAATTGATATACAGTAGCAAAAAAATCAAAAAAGCATACATCCTATAGATAAACATGAGTCTGACTATTAAGTATCGATCTGACATAACTTCCCATTTACTCTCAGTACACACTCACCCTAGGTGATCCTTAGGCTTCCTGTAAACTGTCTTTGCTGAATAATAACTCATCCATCAAGTTCTTCTGATGTCTCTTAGCCCATCCCTAATATAAAATTCTTCTCATATTAATTTATGAGGCCTTCAACAACTAAATACCACAGATTGGATGGCATAAACAACAACAAAAATGGTTTCTCCCAGTTCAAAAGACTGGAAGTACAAGATCAACCTGTGGGCAGGTTTGGTTTCTTCTAAGCCTGTCTCCTTGGCTTGCAGCCACCTTCTTACTGTATTCTACACGATTCCTCTATGAGAGCACCCTTGAGGCCTCTCCCTATTCTTATAAAGACATCAGTCCCACTGGATTAGGGCCCGACTAAATGACCTAATTTCATCATACATGATATTTTAAAGACCTGTCTGCAAATACAGTCACATAGCAAGACCCTGGGGATTAGGATAGTTGAACACACGAAGTTTTAAAGTATAATTTACCTTGTAATTCTCCTGAAAGGCCTTTAAAATTCTAGTAAATGTCAATATAATCTATTCCCTTTGTCTTTTAGTTTCTGGTCAAACAGTAAAAGTGGGTTAGGATTGTCTTCCCCATTTTTGTGGTCTATAGAATTTAATCCTGTGCAGCAAGTTTTCCCACACAAGGCTACTCACTTTAATAGCCAAGCCTAATGATGTAGGTAAATTGAAGTAAATTCTCATAAGCCTTACTTTGTGACAACATATGTGATTACATTTGAGCAGAGTAGCTTTATGAAGTGACATCTTTACCATCTCAGATAAAATGGCTATCTGTATGTTAATAAAGACATCACATATGTCAGGTAGAAACAGTATCTTTAGCTTTTATGGAATTTTTATATATCTAATTGATAAGCAATTCAATATAATCAAGGTCCTTTTTTATTGAATCACTGTGAGCTACACTTACAAATCCGCTTTCATGTTCGAGTTTCAGTCATACAATGATTGAACACCCATTCCTCCACCAGTGTATATTTTCTACCACCAATGTCCCCAGTATCCCTACCTTCCCCATCCCATCTCACCCTCTGCCTCAATGGCAGATAATTTCCTTCTGACTCTCTCTCTACTTTGGGACATTATGGTTTGCAATATAGATACTGAGAGGCTATCACATTTGATCATTTATCTACTTTCAGCACATATCTCCCATCCCGAACGATCCCTCCAGCCATCATTGACTTGGTGTTCCCTTCTCTATCCCAGCTGCCTTCTCTCCCTGCTCATAAGGCAGACTTCCAACCATGGAGCAATCCTCCTGGCCCTGTCTCTACTGTCCTTGGGTGTTAGTCTCATATTATGATATTTTAGATTCCACATATGAGTGCAGTCATTCTACGTCTCTCCCTTTGTGACTCATTTCACTTAGCATGATACTCTCCATGTAAGATCCATTTTTGAAAGCGTGTATCAAGATTTTTTTCTTGGAAACTCAATCTTTCTACAAAGACAAAATTTAGTCTTAATACCTGATTATTCTATTATTTCATAGGAAGACAGGAAGTTCGAAAGTCACAAATAGGGGGCCTGAAGGATAGCTGAGAGGGCTGAGTGCATGCTTTCCACATGGGAGGGAGGCTTGGGTTTAGTTCCTGGCACTCTCAGTCCTCCAAGCACTGCCAGGAGAAACCCTCAAGCACAGACCCAGGAGTATCCAGGTATGGTCCCAAATCCCCCCTGCCCCCCAAAAATAAAAATTAAAAATCATAGATTAGCAATTTCATATTTTACAGATGTAATCCATAATTTAGATGTAGCTGTGTAAGGTATTTTTTGCTTTTGGGAATTCACATTCATGGGTGCTCAGGGGTTACACCTGGCTCTGCACTTAGGAATCACTCCTGGTGGTGCTCCAGGAAACATATGAGATGCCGGGAATTGAACCCGGGTCAGCCACGTGCAAGGTAAACTCCCTACCCGCTGTACTATTGCTTCAGCTCCTGATATGTAAGTTTTGAAATCAAAACTTATGATCAAAGTCTGGCTCCACTATTAACTAGTTGCTTGCCCCCTCTGAGAATCCCTTCTCTTAATATGAAGATAATACTTTGCAAAGCCTTCAAGAAGATAAAATGAAACAGGGAAAGGACTCAGCTCTATGCCTTGCATACAGAAGAGAACAAATGACAGCTTTGACTGTGAAATCCAACTCCATGTAAGAAAGTCATGCATCCTTGCTTGAGAAAGTAACAGATTGGCAACATGATAGGGGTTACTACCGTATTTTATGAAAATGTGCTAGTTCATTAAATCCAAAAAGCTGGCAACAACTTGTAATTCTTTGAATGACCCTGAAAAAAGTTCCTTGTGCGGGCCAGCTCTGACCGCCTTAGTGCTTGAGCATGGGCGTGGTGGTGCTGACGCTAAAGGTGGCACGAGTGCCCTGTCGGCACCACAAACTGTCTAAGGATGACTGCAAAGACTCAGTCTTCTGTCAAGTAGGGATTCTAGAGCCAAGGACATTTGTTGGTACGTGAAGAGCCTGCTTTCAGCAGAACTGGGCTGGGCCCTTTTGTGGTTCCTGGCAAGGGAAGTGTGATGACATGGATCAGAGCTCTCCACACAACAGAACTATTCTCTGAGCAGACGGCAAGTGGTTCAGAGCATTTCCACAAAAAAACATTGCCTCCTACAGAGAACCACCACTTTATTTGCCTAATACACAATGGCTTCACTGCCCCCCCCCAACACCCAGCCTCCCCTCTGCCCACACACACAACACGCTCCTCCTATCCTGAATTCAGATTTTCATTCATCTTT